TTACTACTAGTAAGGCACTTGTTACTACTAGCGATGCACTTGTTACTTGTATTCTGTTCGACTTCATGTAAGCTCATCGATCTTCGTCCGGCCTCCGAGTTGCGAGAGCTGTTGTTCCATCGCCTGACCGAGCAAAATCTGGTGTACAGTGTACAGCCTGTGGCTCTCCGGAACACCCAAAAGCAACCGCAGCTCTACTTGAAAGATCTTGAAAGCCTTCAAAAAGGGGTGGGCCAACGTGGATGGTTCATTTTCAAAAAGATCAAGAAGCTTTTCTTAACTTTTGTTCAATGACATGATGATCGGTCTGGGAATTTCTTGGTCCTTGCCTGCAGGTACTGGTGCTGCCGGGCCACTGGTCGTGGGCGTGGTGCCTTTGCTGAAAGGACACTTGGATGGGATCTGTCATCAGCTCCCGGCAGTTACTAACAAGTGCCACGCTAGTAGTAACAGGTGCCTTACTAGTAGTAACAAGAAGCTATTAGAAACAAGCTATTACAATTTACAACTTAAAAAGAATTTGATGCCGAGATAACCACTGCTGTGATCTCAATGCGGATGTTGCAGTAATCTATGTAGCTCATTACTTAGAAAAACACACAGTGTATTTCGTTGGGCAGCTTTGTTACTTTTTGTTGATCTGAAGTTGTTTCACGTCGTTGCACATTCTCTATTTCAACTTCAAACTTCTCCCAAAATAGCTCAAACTAAGCCCCATGCCGGTGGTCGGGCCGGTGCTTGCTGTGGAGGTGGACCCTGCGCAATGCTGCAAATCAGGTGTTCTTCAGTCTTGAGTCTAAAGAGCTAATGTGTGTTTGATTGGCATTGATGCAATATACAGTATACATCAATGTATTGCGTAAGGATTTGTAAATATAAAATGGTACAACAAAATTGATCATTTGCAACTCCCCTCACTGGCACCACTTTCATCCCGACCACACATGTTTTCGTGAACAACTCACCTCTGTAAGATGCATCTTACTATTAGTAGCAAGGTGCGTCGCTACTAGTATATAACAAGTGCCTTACTACTAGTAACCAGAAGCTACTAGGGGCTCCTGGCCTTACTACTAGGAGCAAGGACGCAACTAGGGGCTCCTGGCATCACTACTAGTAGCACTCTTACTACTAGTAACAAGAAGCTACTAGTAGCGATGAACAGTAGCGATGCACTTGCTATCAATCTTCGCCAAGCATCGATGCCTATCCAAAGGACTCACTGCCAGCCTTCTACTATTTTCTCCTGGGATAAACAGGGTGCACTTGTTGAGTCTTTTCGTCTCAACATCTTCACCAGCTCACGAGGCCTTGAAAACACCTGACACACAACCCATAACCGCTTTCATCCATTTCCTTTTTGCAAAGCAACACTCCCCTCAAATCCCCTCAACACCTCCTCCCCTTCAGCCTCACGTGCAATCCGCATGAATGCGCGGTCTCGAATCATCTGCGCCTCAGGGTGGGATTTGGCAGGGGAGCGTGTCGCAACTAGTTAAAATATGTTAAAAGGGTTGATATAAAGGATATTAAAAGGATGATGCAATCAATGCAATCAAACAACAAAAACTGTCTGTGCTTGGACTCTGCTTCAAGCGGCTTCAAGTTATCTTTTTCACGCAAACTCGCTTGATACTTGATGTGCTTGAACTCAATCTACGAATCCAGTATCTTGAAAGGAGAAGGAACACTGGAGACCAAAACTTATGATACAACAAAGCAGCTGACTGAGCTGACAGAGAGTTTCGGAAGTCCTGTCAGTGCTCGCTGTTGGAGTCTGGAATCTGCCTCAGCTCTTGCTTTCGGGCTCCACTGCCACTGCCTCACCAGTTTTCGGGTTGGTGATTGGCAGGGGTGTGGAGGGTTTTCGTGGTGCGAAGTTCATGCCGATAGTGTCAATGGGTTTGCCACTGGCAGGGTCCACGATCTGTAGAAGTCGAGGTTTGGGCGGGGAAAAATCTGGCACGGCACTTGCATCACCATCGGCACTTGCCTCTGCCTTAACGGCCTCACCTTCGGCAGGGGCAGCCGCTGGTGCAGCTCCCTCTTCAGGTGACTTGCCCTTGCCAGCTCCTTTCGGTCCCTTGCCCCACTTGCCAGCTCCCTTCCCATCACCGTACATTTGCATGTACTGCTGCTGCATTTGATGCTGGTAAGCTGCATATGCAGCAGCCTGGGCTTGCTGTTGGGCCGCGAAAGAATGTTGCATGTATGGGTTCATGCCGGCACCCATATGGGGGTTGTGCATCATATTGTACATGGCATTGAAATAAGGATTCGGAGGCGGTGGAGCATGTGGTGCTCCTGGATGTGGGTGTGCATGCATGGGGGGTGGAGGAGCACGTACACCACCACGAAGCATTTGAGCCTGGAAGGCCTGTGCAGCCTGCGCTGCGCCCATCGGAGCACCTTCAGATGGGGGTGAGCTCATTGCATCTTCGTAAAGTTTGTCAAAGAACTCAGCGATTTCATCCACCGTCAAAGGCGAGTCCTTCTCTTGCTGATGGCCCCATGCTACGAAAATGTCCGTCAGCACCTCCCGACCTGTACTCTTGTCTTTGTGCCTCTTCAGCTGAACCTTCACGTCTGCGATATCCATCTCGAGCTTTCCCAACGGGCTCCAGCCATAGGTCTTCTCAGCATAATTCATAATGGCCTCTCGGTGCTGGGCCGCCTCCAAGGAGACCACAGCACAACCTGCTGCGCAAGCTAAGCATGCTGTAAGCTTGTTGAATCTCAAAACAAAACAGAACGAGATAGTACGAGTATTTGTGAAAAAGCTAATTACACGGGCTACATTGCTACTCATACCTACCAGGTGTATGGCAAAGGGACCCAAAACCACGCAAAAGGAAAAACAACAAACACACGGCATCGAGTTGTTAAGTGCGCCCAGGAACCCATACCGCTGTGCTTGTGCACTTGGCAGTGGGTCCCCTTGGCTTCCACGGGCTGCTTCCCTCCGCTGTCAGCGTTCCGCTTCACCCGCTCGATCTTCCCCTTCGCCATCTCAGCTTCCACCTCCGCCACAGTCTTGGCACCATTCACTGGAGGCCCCCAATCGCGATCATGGCCCTTCTCAGACTTTCCTTGCCAAAGATGACACACAAACACTCTCTATCTCTCGAGTTTTCGCGAGGTCTTCTACTTACATTTATCACCTTGGTTGTCGGGGAACGCTCGTGCTGTTGGGCTAAAAATGAATGACACGTCGAGGAAAAGAGGGATAGGAATCTCCATACCACAAAAAAGATCTGAAAGACTGCCTAGTTTCCCTTCCCCTTGCCTTTGCCTTTTCCTTTCTCTGGCTTTTCTTCTGGTTCTCGATCCTCATGCTTCCCCTTGGACTTGCCCTTGGGCTTCTCATCATCACCTTTGCCTTTCTTCGGCTTGCTCTTGGTTCCCCAATCATGCCAACCTCCCCAATCGCTGTAGTCATTCCACCCATCATTCCACCAATTTCCTCCACCTCCTCCACCCTTGCGGCCACTCTCCTCCTTTTCCTTTGTATCCTTCTTCTTGCCCTTGCCCTTAGTGACTTTCTCCTCACTTTCGGTCTTCTTGGCCATCCACTTCATAGCCGGTGCCATGATGGGACGGATAAGAGGAAGACTCCGTCCGGCTGCTCTGTTCACCCAATGCGGACCCAATTGACGTGCCTCATGTACTTTTGTCAGTGCTATTCAAAGAAGTGTCCTTTACATGTTTCTACTTTGCGCAATGAAGCATTTTTTCAATTACTTTAAACTTTAAACAATGCGCGCGCCGAGATTGCTTAAGCAAGCAAAATGGCTATAGAAGATCTCCAGTGCAAAAAGACCAACGCAACTCATCAGTGCTAAAGCTGCAGTCACTTTAATGGGTCATCAACTGCACCCCTAAATGCAAGTTTGTTGTGAACGCCACTTGTTCAAGCTCAATTCAAGCTACGTGTGTTTTGCAAAAAATATGGCACATGACTGACATGACCTTGCCACATAAGCCTTCACAAGGCGCATCCTGCAAGGTGCCCAAAGGTGCCCAAGCCTCCGCAACCATCTCAGCAGGTAAGGCTTGCAAGACTTCCTGCGACTCTCCAATCCGATTGCTGAGATGAAGTAGCAAAAATAACATCACTTGTAAAGCCAAGGAGCTCTATTCAGCTATCCAGCTGTAGCTATGCTCCAGCAACAATCACACCTTTTGGCACTCAGAATTTGTTACTGCTTGTAAAGTTGTGCCACTGACAAATACTGGCGATGTTGGCGACTCTGAATGTGGGACGGACACATAGCGGCAGGAGGAATCAATATAAACAATCACCAAACACAAGTGCCTTCAGTCATGTTCCAAAGTTTTCTTGAGCAGTGCGTTGGCTCTTCCCTGACCCGGGCCATTGAGGGGGAACAAGGAAGAACAAGAAACCGCATTTGAGACGTCACAAGGTTGTTGTTTCCATAAATTGCTAGCCTACTAACTGCCTCAAACAGTTTTTTTCTATAGCCCTCAATGCCCCATATTCCTCCTTGGAAGGATAATAACAAGGAATGACGGAATGACACTTTTTTGGTTCAACTTACTTCTTTAGTTCAATTCCAGCCTAGACCGGTCCTCTGTCGGACTCGGTTCGGAGCGGACGGTGAATCTTCTGTCCTCCGGAGCCGTCATCAGCACCTCCTCTCGCAGCATGGGGTCCAGCCTTAGCCCGGTCCGTTCCTATGGCGCCTACTTAATCAAGTAAGGTACGGGAAGCTAGGAACAAGTGCCGTACTAGTAGTAACAAGAAGCTAGTAGAAACAAGTGCCACGCTACTAG